ACCGGCAATAGCCCTAGGAAGAGCTACTGGCGGAGTTCAGATAAAATTATATATATATTCTAGCATATCAAGTTAGCAATGTGTTTTAGTGAAAGTAAAATGTGATTATTAGAAAAAATAATCACTTAGTCTGCTGATTATTAAATATTCGATTTTCTTTCACCCGATTGATTTTTCCGGACGCATCTAATGTCACTTTTAACTGTGTTGAATAAAGTATTATCTAGTTTTAATCTGGATCTCTATTCTAGGTCGTGATTCTGATATAACATGGCTAGTGTGATTATCGTATTAACATGTCGTAATACACCTGAGAGAGGATAGTAGTTATATCAACAAGACCTTTTTGAAATTGAATAACTGGTCATCACTATAATATTGAATATTATGCGGCACTGAATAAACAGTAAGCTAAATTATGTTTACGTACACAGATCCTTATCTATTACAGTCTTCTTTATAGAGATCGACGTAAATATTATGAAATTTTTCGTCTATATTTGCTAGAAAACTCACTTTATGATCTATGGTTCATCTTAAACTCAATAAACAGTTGTGCGATTAATTAATAAAGGAAACGAAATTAGTGTTAAACCTAATTATTTGTATGGTAGGTTATCGTTATTGTTACAAAAAACATGAATTTAATTTTCGTACTTTATATATAACAGTTTTCTTATAAAAGAGGGTAAATTCATGCTCAAATAATTTATCAGTAGTCTCTTGGTTTCGATCAGTTTTTCCCTTATCACTGATTTCTAATAAGAAAGTGTACATGTTTTAGTTGAGAAACACAACTTTTATGAAAGCTACAACAGCTGTACTCCTTTCACCTTTTAAGGGTAAAATATCCTGTGACAATACCAACATTTCGTACAGTCAGCCCGTGAAGTAATTGACTGTTGAAATGAGTTGTGTAAACTTCTTGTTTGTGCTGACGCAGTAGTCGTAAACTACGATCGAACCTGTTGAATGACACGGTTCAAAACCAATTGTGTTGATATAGTTTCGCCAATGTCTATCTTCTAAATCATAAGCATATTACAACTTCATACTTTTCAATCCCTGATCGTGTTAATTTTGCAGCACAACCGATATTATCACTCCTTTTCTCTCTGCTGTTGTTCTCTTCGTTGATTTCTTCTCTAACTGTCCATTTACACGAAGGATGTAACGTAAATCGGTTCACATACGTAAAATATTTGAAGTCGTGTGTTTCTAAGTAGTAACATTCAGTTTCATATTCACTTTCACATATAATGTCTTCTATGTTCTCGGCGCCCAATTTCTGTCAAACTATTCGTTCTAATCTTGACAAATATTCGTATAAACATTCAGTTCTGTTATTTAACTTATTATTATGAATGTGTGGAATAGTCCAATTTTTTCCACATAATACTCTTAGATTTGAGATCATTATTTTAGGCCTGTCTTGTATAAACACCACACATTTGCGTCAAATAAGCATAGATATACACACACCTGTTCCTCATTATTCATTTAATGATTTTTAATTCCTTTATTTAAGTTGGTTTAAGATTGTGGTTGGAGGTAGTCAACAGGAGACCCTGGACCTAGGTTTCGTGCATCTTGGCACTCGTCAGCAAGGTGTACCTGTAATCCTGAGGGAACTGATGCCCCCTGACCGATTCGATCCGCACTAAAAATGACCTGACATACATGACATTGATCACCACCTAGTGATCAATCAACTGAGTTGCTCTCTTTGTTCTGTAAATGATTTTGGTTAGGGCTATCGTTATTACATTCATATGTATTTTTTTATTCTAAGCGTACGTCACACATGTTTGTGATATTCGAACTACGGTGTATTGTTTAAAAATGTTTTCTAATAAGCAATTATATGACGTAATAATACATTGTCATTAACATACTTTTCTCTCCCCTCTGTTGTATTTCGCTCTCTTGTATCAATCGTCTAATTTCAGACTTCAATTATCGATTATATCACGCTAAGCTCACGCATGAAATCACATGTGTTGTGATTACGTATTTATGATGCAAACGTCTGCTTTGTTTGTTTATATATTATATTCATTGTACGTGTGTGTTTGTAAGCCATATGTATTCTGATTTCTTTGTTCAAGTCTACGCTCATTTTTTTATATAGTTTATACACTGTTATCAGCTGATGATGTATCAAATGTTCCATATAAGAGAAAAAACATCATCAATGGTCAATACTTTCTGGAGATGTCTGTCTCAAACAGTTAAAAATTTAGTTTAGCACCATGTATAAATGATGTTAATATATTAACCCTTCAAAGTATTGAATATTTCGATAATGTAATAAGAAGACGAAGATTATCAGAACTACGTGACATATTAGCGCAATATATTTCGAACAATCTGATCACACATACTTGTTAAGAGCATTTATATATAAGAATAAAAGGTGGATGGATGCTTATCCTCTGCTCTTATTGGGTCACTTGATTCTATTTGTTTCTGCAGCCATTTGGGTACATGTTCACACACCCTAATTTTGAGATCACGATTGCTCCTCCCTGTGTATGTGTGACCACACACATATATAAATTGGTAGACACAGTGGGACGTGACACTACTGGTTTTGGATGAAGCATGCACCTTGTTCTTTCTTTGATAATGACCTTTGCTACGCAATACGTTTTACTGATGACTGATTTACGTCTTTGTTTCAATAAAAGGCTACTTGAATCACCTCTGAATGGTAAGGTGATATAGACAGGCTTTTTATTACTCTTATTATTAACCTTATCTCCTCTTACTCCGTTTCCAGTATAGTTGACCTTTTATTTTTATATATAAATGCTCTTAACAAGTATATGTGTGATCAGATTGTTCGAAATGGATTGCGCTAATATATCACATAATTCTGCTATTATTAACTAGAAAACGTTTTCCACTATATTTCTCATATCTGAACTGGATGCTTTCAACCGCTGTAACAGAATAAATTCTAGTTTGCTTAAGTTGAATTATTGGATTATAGCAGTCCACTGTTTTCTTGGTGATAAAACATATAAAGTTCCCTCATCTTTTATTGAAATCATATAGTTATTTTGATTTATTTAGTCATAAATTGTTAGTGATTATTTTACTTATTTATTTATTTAATTCACATATAATTTGGTACAGAGTTGGGCACCAAAAGTAGTATACGCCACACGAACTTTGTGTGTGTGGGGGGTGGGTAAGGTACTACTCGAGTTTCCAAAATAGGTGGTTGGGTTAGTATGTAACTCTCCGAATCTCTAACCTAAAGGCTTAGTTAATAAGGTAGTGGAGTATCCTCAAAATCGGCCGTGATCAGAAACAGATTCATACGCTGTTTTTATTCCTCCGAGATTCTGATGTCCACTTACACTGTTGGTTTAGAATTAGGGTTTTCCGTTTACCCCTTACATAAATCCGTCATATGGGCTAATCTGATTTGTGTACAAGATGTTCTTACAATTTATTCGCGCCACAAATTTGAACAAAGTAAGGACGGTTCATTGTATTTCGTTGCTTTCTTTTCTCCAGCTAACATACAAAGTAGTAATATTTACATATTTCCAATCATTAACATAATCTTCAATTTAAAATAGATTGTAAATAACCAATGGATCGTCTGGAATGTGAAACAGAGTTAGTGTTTTTTAAACAGGTTTTTTATAATTGGTCAAGATGATAGTTGTAGAAAATATTCAAGATAATATTGTCTGCGTAATACAACAAAATTTATTTTCTGAAGTTTATGAATGAAAAGAAGGGCGTGTGAGTTTAACCCACTTGATTCTATTCACATTCCTTTTTCTAAATTCCAAACAACCTACTCGTTATTGAGAGTTGGTCTTTCAAATTTAACATTGCGTTAATATTTCTTTGAAATCATGAACTGATTTAATTACATAGCCATTAAAAAGCTAGAAGCACTGAACGACTATTTCACACTAGTATGGGACTCCTCAGAAGTGCGCATCCACAATCCCGCACTAAATGGAATCGTCAGTCAGTCAGTCAGAATCGGACATATGACGTTTTGTCTCGTGCACGAACACATCACCCCTAAACTGCTGAGCAAACATCCAACGGTGTTAATGTCTAGACTCGGTCAATTCACAAAATTGAGCAACCACCTTCCATTGTGTTTGGTGGGAAGTTGTCTCACACCTTCCATGGATTAACTACAATGGTAACGGCTCCTTACCACAATTCTGAAGATTTTCTCTCGAAGCCAGTCATTACTCAGCACATAGTGATTCTCGATTTGCGTTTGTGGAGATTGTTGAGTCTCATTAAAATCAATAGTGCTGTGGAGTTCAATACTAGGACGAAACGATCGTCCTGTGCTTCCAGATTTTAAATGGTTGTCTAGCCTAAATCGGTTTATGATTTCATTGAAATTCAACCGTCTGTCTTACTTTCTTAAAACCCTATCAGTAACGGAAACATACGGATCTTTTCGTACTTATATTTATAGGTAGTGCGTACGTTGTTGATATCTAAGTTTGTTCTCATGGTAAAACTATTTCATACGAACTTTCGCTTCTGATTGTTTAAACGTAGTAACCTTTCACATTGCTCTACGTACACCACCTTATATAATTACGGTTCAATCTATCATGTTAAATTTGGTTATTCTCATTCACGGAAAGTGGTTTATCTATTCATCTTGTTTATACTTCATCTTCGTTGATCTATGTTCATAATATATTTGAGAGTAGTTATAAACACACATTGATCAGCAGACAGTGTAAAATTTCTCCCAACTGTTTCCCCTATACTACTAGCGATTTGGCATCGACGTGCATGATGTTTTTCGGATATTCATATGTAGCTGAAAATGTTTAATAGTTATCTTCATAAATAGGTTTTCGATTGTCCGTTCGTGTAGGTAATATGTATTCATTTCCTATCCTTCACTCATAAACAAATAAATTTTGACTGCAACTTCGAATGCACTGTTTTGCACCGTAGATCTATAGGCTTTCATCTCTTTTTCTGCTTTACAGCTTGTGAACAAGTAATACGTAGTATGTTGTCGAAAGAACCGAACGATCGTCCGACAACAAAACGTATCAGTCAATTTCCATGGTTCACTTCATCAACAATTCCACATAATCATTATCACGATAAACTAATTGCAAATGTTATGTCTAACTCATTGGCCACAATGCATTTAACTAGTCAACCTGTCCCTACACCAACAACGTTACGACAAACATTGTCACCCTGTGGTGCTAATTCAAATATTTTAAATAAATCCACAGACTGTGATTTAGTTCAACCCACGTTTGTTTTGAAACATTGTTCTTGTGATTGCTCTTCGAAATTCTCATGGAGTAAAGATGATCTACAAAGTCCTGGGCCTAATTTAGCGGCTGAAATGAAAGTAAGTCATTTTTCTCAGGTTAACACTTAAGCTGATTTAAATTGGCTCTGTTATTTTTTTCCCTACTATTTTTACATAATTTCGTCCACATTGTATTGTATCGTGACTTAATGAAGTAAATAAGTTTAAGTATTCTCGAGATCACTGTATTTTGTTGTTTCACAGCGCTTAATGCTTTTAAATCATATTTTTACGATTCGTGACTTCATTCTGTTGCTATTTTTTATAGGTTGGTAAATTAAATGAATTAGTTATTATGATTATGGAGTCCTATGGAATGTGTCGCACTCAAATTCTCAAAGTGAGTTATCATCCGAGTGATTTTTTAAAAATAAGTATACTCATGTTTATTTATCATTTAGGTAACTGATTCTAAGATAACATATGTAGAACCTAATTTTAAGCTATCAAATAACTTATATTTCTTTCACAAGCGATTTTCAGCGATGTATTTCAAGCTTGTAGTATTAAACATTATCGGAAACACGGACGAGTATCATCTTAAAACATCGTCTGTTTACTATGGTATATTTTATGTAATTGGTAATATTATCTACCTATTCTGTTAAGTCGATAAGCTTAAAACCCTAAGTGGAAAGTATTTTGGTTCTTTTATTAAGTATATAAGCGTAAATCTTGTCTAAAAATGTAATTATAAGTCCCTAATATTTAAACTTTTTCATTTTATTTGCCTAAAGCAGTTAACTCTATCTTCACATTTAACCGTTAACTCAGTGAATTATTATTTCATTTTGACCAGCACTAACTTTCAGCTGATGCGTTAACTGGTGTCCTCTGTCTGTAATTCATATTGTTTGAATTGTATTCAGCTACAATAGCGTAGCGTGTTCATAACTATTGGTCCTTGTAAAAATCCTATCTAGGTTTTGTTTATAACTTATCATGTGTCATTCCTATATTACTTTATGGTGATCAACAAACTCTGTATCCTAAACGGACTAATCCAAGTGAATTAGTTGCATCCATAATTGTTACCAAGTATCAAACTAACTGCCAACTTATGGAAGTGTATAGATTATCATTAATTACATTTACAAGGTTATACAAAACTTGATGATAGCATGCCAATTAGTAATTTTCAGAGGCTCCTCGAATAGTTCGCCTGATTTATTTCCTCAGCAATGTCGTTCAGACTACCCCGTGCTCCTCCTTGGTCGATAACGACCGTCCCAATAAATGAAGCGGAAGTGTTCTAGGTTTGTCTTTTAAGGAATGCTATACCTAAGGATTTTATCACTGTCGTAAAGCTCTATGTGAATATACTTTAAATGGATTGAGGCCAAAAAACCATAAACGGATTGTTATACAGCCTGTTGGTGGAAGCAGCTCTTCGTTTGCTTGCTAAACTTCCTCTGCCTCAGCCGTGGGTAGTCGTTAACTCGGTGTGCTCGATCATCACTGTTTAAAATATTCTCGACACCCGAAAAAAACTTTTTATCAATTAGATAAATCGTCATTAAATGAATGAAATTTCGAACAATCTGATCCCAAATATACTTGTTAGGAACATTTATTTATGGAAAATTAAACGGTCAACTAGACAAATGTAAGGTTAGAGGAAACAAAAATAATAGAAAAAATTATGTTAAAAGCAATGTGAAACTCACCACACTGGATAATAAAACAATATTACTAGGGTAGGCTAAGAGTGAAAACATACTGTTTTTGAAAACAAAAGGGATTTCAATTTTAGTGTGACCAAAGCTTCAATAAACCTTAATATGCGTCCTTAAACACTTTTGTACAAAACCACAAGAGCAGAGTTAAGATCACTGTTGTCATCTGTTTCAACTATCTGTTTAGCAACAGAGGATAATGAATGTTTATCATCTACTCTTATTGAGTAATTTGATTTCATCGTTCATCACATAGTTCTGATGATTTTCGTATTCTTATCATAGTATCCAAATTTGGCAAATAGACTAATTGTTTTAAATGAAAATCCTAATTGAATTGTAACTATTAGTGACTACTATTCTTATCGATTACTGATATGAATTTTCTTTCTTTTATTTCTTCACTTTAAGATCCCTCACTATCTTTTTTGCATGCCATATTTTATCAAAAACAAACAATATGGTAATGTATTGACTCTCCATGCCAACTTATTCATAGTATGACTTCGGAAAGCTCTATTGTTAGGGTTATCAATTTACGTTTCATAATTAAACAGAGCAACTGAAGGACTCATTAAAGCATACCTTCTGTTAATTCCCTTCTTTCCCATTGCTTATTTTTATTCTTGTGTTTTACAGTCACTTCTACGTTGTGCTTACGATCATCTGACAGCTACTTACCTCTTATTGGGTGAGAAATTACGTTTGCATAATCTAAACATTGATTCATCGACTACACCTATTACAGATTCTGGAATAATTATACCTAATTGTGACCATCCAACAACATCATGTTATTCAATTATGGCTCCTGAGCATAAAAGTTTCAATACCACTCCTGATTCTGTTATGATGCCGAATTCTATTCCATCACCCCAACCATTATCATCGTCGATTTCTGTACCACAACCAAACTATTCAACTATACCTACAAGTATACCTCCAGTTTTCCCACTGTCCTCCATAAATTCAATGAATATGGACCTTCCTTTATCTAGTTGCTCTTCATCTATGGAACAATTAGATGAATCTACAAATAATATCAACTGTTTTGCCGATACCTCAATCGATAATAGTGATCATAAGGACAGTGTTTCGCAAATAATCGATAGAACAGAAAGTGATAATTTAACTGCTGATTCAGCATATGGTGTTGCTTTACAGTCCACATATGTTAATAACTCTGTTTCAGATCGTGTTATAGTAAGTCTTAATAACTCATTCGTCATTAGTTATTAGCGAGTGTTTTACTTTTTTTCTATATTGAAAATGACAATATTTTATCATCTCACTTGAATACAAAATTAAAAAAGCGATGTTCTATAGCAGCTACATTAAGATTCTAATATCTATTCAACACGATGAACAATTATAGTCTGTTATGATGACATATAGTTATTGATAAAATGCCAACTTGAAAACTAATGATATTCGATAAATTCTTGTCGATGACACAAATCATCCGATAAAATGTTATGTAAAATAAACTTGAGTGTAATGAATATGGAATGGAAAATTGAAAATTCGAATGAGGAGTTAACAGTTCAAAAATTTATTTGAAAGCATAAAAATTTGTAAAAGTGAGCACCAAAATATACATGCACCACACAATAAAGATGTGGTTGTTAAGAGATAGAGAAAGGAAGGTGAGCATAAAAAAAGAACAAAAATGAATCAGAAGTAGTGGATTAAACTGAAGAAAATAACAATATGGGAAGCAGTTCAGTTAAGAAAAATATAACCAAATTCATTGTGACGACATTCCTAGTAACTGTCTAAGCCACCGAAGTCAGTGTTTCAGGATGCTCACACCAACTGTATTATCGTCACTGTGCTCAAACACGCGTTGCCGAACCTTTGCATTCAGAAATAGTTCAGTTGATGTTTAATGTCCATGCATGTTTGTCTTGTGTTTTATTGTTTAAAGTAGATGGAAGGAGATTAAAACAGCCGTTAGTTTTGTAAATATATGAATAATATAATTCATGAGTGGTGGAGAAAGGAGGTATATGTTAACAGATGCCATTGGAATAATACTACTACGTATCCCATAAGTTTATCATAAAACGTCGGCTTGTACTGCAGGTTAATCTCTGCAAACTGCCTCACATTAATTCTGTTGGGTTGATTTAAGCTATCAAAGACTAAAGGCAATTAAACTAGTCGAATGATAATTTCCACTTTATGCAATTTCAATCGGATCTCTATACTACTTGAATAGTGTTCTTCTTGAAACTAAGCAATCATCAGGGTCAGTAAATTTATACGAAGGTATTGGATAGGGGAAGTCATAAATTATGCATCATAACGGCGATAATAAACTACTATGTCTAGAGATTGGTCGCCAATGTTATATCTGGGTATGTCGTCACTCGACTCTTTTGGGTCCGTAGACTTACTGTTTATACTTGGAAATAGGAAAAACTGATGAAATAAGGACTTGGTAGCCCTCCAAAAAAAGTCTTCAAATAAATCCTGAAATCACATCCTCATAAAACTAAAGTACAATCATTTGTGCACTAATTTCTACACATATCATAGAGGCAAATATATAGTTATTGTGAAAACACACACCGACTATAGTTCACGTGAATTAATGTAGGGGATACAATTGTCACACTAAACAAAAGTTTGCACCTGTCTCCCAGATCGAAGTTCGTAATGTACTGATAATGAAATTATTGATTTAAATAATGTCTTTTTATCCTACTGTATCATAGACAAATCCATATTTAATGAAAGTTGGTCAGTGGCAGCAACAGATTGTTAGTGTACACAACATAATAAATTTCTCTTCACTCTTACCTTCCATTGGATAGATCACATTAGGATGTCTGCTAATTAATTACAAAAGACAACTGTTTGTATTTCACTAGATGTAAATTTCCTCAGGATTAAGGTATAAGTATTGCATATACTTGTAAATAGCATATTTTAAATAACTGGATCGGTTAGATAGTTCAATTTCTAATTGTTTAAATCAGATATCATGCTTCTATTCATTTTGTATTTTTACAGCTTCAGTCTTATTTGCCTGTGGAGGATGAATTAAAAATTGTCAGTGGTGGTACTGGTAATGTTACTGTTGGTGGCAGACCGCAACATCGTGTTTTAGCTAGACGAAAATATGGAATCTGCAGTCCACCAGCTTGTTTAGAAGAAATAAAGCAGGCTTTGATTTCACAACAACACCAACCACCACTCATAAATGAGAGGAATATTACAGATGGTGATGATTTACCATGATTATTAGTAGCAAAATAGTATCTAATATATATATATTCCTTTCTAAAGAAATAATAATGATGAGATGGATTGATTGTATTTTATTTGTTCACAATATTTGTAACAAAAGTAATCAATTAGAACAAAATCACTGGAAATTCTGGTTTTTTTAACAACAATATGTATTTATATCCCCACACCGCATCCGATGCTCTCAAATTTTATTTTTTCACATTATGGGATGAATGCAAAGCAAATATGTAGACAGATATGAAAACTCACAAGAGAACATACACCATCGTCATTGGACCTTATTTATTCATAGTCTTTCGCAATATAATAATAAATCCAATTTTTGTCATTTAACTTCATTGCTTTTTTCGTTATTTTTGCATTGTTTCATAGATAGTTTTTATTGGTTTGTGACATGTTTTTTCTCTGTAAAAAGCAACTATGTACTCAGTCAAAGAATCTAGATATATCCCATCCTACATAAACTGTCACTGCAAAGGTGGAACTTGATTTCATTCACAATACAATAGTGTTGACCATTCCTTTGTTTCTCTCATCATAGTGATTTTTCCCTGCTCTTATTTCTACGCTTCTCTGTTTTGTCCAAACAAAAACTGTCCTCTTTCTAAATACAGCATTTTACTTTTTTGATATCTAATTATCATTGACTTGGAAATTGTGAATACATATTCACACTCACTAATAAGATAATAGATATCGTGTTTCTATTGAACTTTTAATGAAATAGCACTTGTCACACAATTCATGTTTTGCATGTGTGAGTTTATATATTTATTCATTATATTATTAGAGATATAGATTCACTCAATACTCTGGTATCAATTTTCCATTTGTCTATCTTTCATGTATCATGCATTGTGTACATATAAACTGTGTCTTGTAAATTTTATGAAAAATCCCGGAGTAAAGCTTACTAATTATGTAACAAGTTGTATTGTGTATACCTGTACTGATTGGATGATTGTGTCTAAGCTTTATGTTTTGATTTTCTATTCACTGCCATATTTTTTATTATTTGAGCGTCTTACTTAACATATGTTTATCCACACACACGGAACTTCTGTACTCTTCACATCCTAGTCCTAATACGGAATATGTTTACATATTATTTTCTTTTATTCACTCAATACATAGGCAAAGCAAGATGTAGTGTGGTTATGAAGTAACAAACGCATATTATCGATTCCATATTGTCTGACGATTGAGTACATAGCTTGAATAAAGCCAATTATCATCAAGAAAGTAAATTCTTGAACAGCTATATTTTCAAAATTCTTAGGTTCGTTTAATGCAAATGATCAGCATTTTAAGATATTTTCCATTTTTGATGCTCGAATGTATTAAGTACCAGGCGATTACTTATGATGATGGGTCACTTAAGAAGTCTTTATCCAAGATGTTCAGTATGTGTATTAAATTTGAAATCCCAACTCCGAGGTTCATTGACAATGCCAGCAGATTCCGTGATCTATTGCCGATAACAGCATGTAACCCAAGAATTTCTAAGGTTAACTTTGATGTGACATGAATAGTCAGATCACTGTAAGCAAAGTAGGTCGCTGAAATATATAAGACTAACTATGGTGTTAAGGGATTTATCTGATAAAGACGACCTCTCCGGTATTGATAACATCAGTGAAAATAATTTATTTATAGGTGTTTAGTATCGACATATTTATTCATTAATAATACTTATGAATCTAAACTGTTTGTAATGTAAATTTACACAATAAGTCATAAAAAATGTATTTAGTGAAATAATTTTTTCAGCGAGTTCATTTTCAAGGCTGTACAACCATATATATATATATATATATATATATATATGAATGATAAATTACGGTCCAATGAATAACTTTGTCTGCTAAAATCCAGTCAGTTGTGATGTGCAATTTGTCTACATGATCATCAAGTGAACAAGTTATTACAGGGGGGAATTTACAGAACATGCGCAACGTACAATCAATAGGTTAAACAAGAGATCTGTCCATCGTTAATTCGAAATAAAGTGTGAACGGTAATCACGAGATCTGAGTAGTAACGACGTTTGTATGAATAAGGAAATGAAGTCATTCTTTAAAATTCGGGAAAGAAAAATCTAAAGGAAAGAAAAAGAACAAATGTATTAAATAAAACTATAAACAAGAACTATGGTAACTAGATGGATATAAAATATTTGTTTTTGTTTACAAAACTCGCATTTTCAATTCAGGACAGTTAAAGCTTCCATAATTTAAAGTAGGCTTGAACGTGAACTTTGGGATCCTCGGCCGGACTTTTGTAGTTGATGTCAAGGGAGTTAAATATTTCGAATCTAGTACATGACACAGTAAATAACGTAATTAACTTGTGCTGTTCTTACTTAAGCCATACTGCTAGGTGCTTCCAAATTCGACATCGTTCTCATCGAAACGCGTAGCAGGTAGACTGGTATACACACATATTGCTCAGCTGTAGCAACTTATCTTTCACATTAGAATCATATGAGTATAATCTTAGTAGATACTAGAAAGAATAAGTTGTCTAATGAGCAAATTTTACGATATCGACAGCATAGAGAATGGATGAGATCTTGTTTTGTAGATATTGGAAACCAACTATGATAATTTTCCAGTTGTTCTTACCAAGTAGATTATACATGGACCTTTGTATTGATCCATCATTACTTTTAGTAAATAGGATATCAAATGCAAGAAGTGTTTATTCACATTCTTATTTTTAATTGGTGGAATGGAGATATTAAAAGACTGTAGAATATATTGGACACCAGATTGTTCATCACACACTATGAATGTGTTACTAACACACTTTCTATACAAAAATTTTAGTAATTGTCGTATTTGAACTGCTAATTTTGATGTTAGCTATGGAAAATCTAACTGTAAAGGACCCACTGGAGAACCCAAATTTACGTACAGAAATATCACACGATTAAAGCTGAACAGTGCATTCAGAATACTTTCTTTTAAACAAAACTTAGGAAATTCTAGATACATATTATTAGCATCAATAAAATTACAAATGAAAAATATGGTGTGTGCTAAATATTGTACATTAAGCCAATACTTGCCAAAAATGCAAATTTTTTACTCAACTTTTCCATCTACTGATAACTTTTACACAGGTAAGAAAAATAATGAGAAACTAAAGAATATCTGATCGCATCGATAAGCAGATATATCTTAATTTAGTATATTACTGTATGATACAAGTAAAATAATCGATAAGCTGTTAGAATTTATTTTTAGCAGCTGAGATATCTATAGTATATTACGTGGATTTCATAGAATATTCATTTGATTTTATATTAGATGATTCAGCGATCTTTGTTTGGCAAGGTAAAAGTGTACATACATATATTTATTTGAAATGTTTTCAACTTTCAAATCGAAACAACATTGACGTCAAGATGCATTCATAATAACAACAGAAGTATATGATTTCTTGTCATTAAATTCATCTGACAAATTATTGTCTCAATAAAAAGATGATAACAATGATTTAATTACTTAATTTCGACAAACTAAATTGAATAAAAATTATGAATATCTTGATTAGTTTCGATAAGTTGAGTTTTTGGCGTAATACAAATCAAAGGTGAAATATGATATAAACAAGCGTCATGTATCATTTCATTACGTACGTATGGCAAACGTTACATAAATCACATCAGATTAAAAGGCTAAATAGACTAAGTAGTCGAACAAACAGGAATATTTTAAAGTTTAATATTAGATTAAGAAAAATAGTGAAAATACCAATCCCCAGGTCATGGAATTTTTTTAAGTGACTATACACCATTGTACCTTTCTTGCGAGCACCCGATGATTTCTTTAAAAAGGATTGTTACTTTTTATACGACAAAGTCGATGGGTAATAGATTAATATTAGAAAATTGTTTTGTAATTTCAAATTTTTAAAAACATATTTATCTAATTCAGATGACTTGACACACAATAGATTTGTAAACATTCAAAATGGAGATATCAGTTTAGATTAGACACTTCGCAGAATAGACAGCACGGTTGATTCTTCTGGTAACTTTATTACATCCTAAATCCAGTTAATGTGAAGTGCTGGATCTTCACAACACTTATTTACATGTTAGGCGGTTGAGGATAATCGGCAGGAGAATTCGATCTAGGTTTTATGCTAGTTGGCATTCGTCGCTGAAGTCCACTTGCCATCTCGGGGGTGCCGATTCTCCCTGCGCGATTTGAATCTAAATAACCCACCTTTAGAGTCCTGCCAACTACTTCCAACTTCCTAGCATTTTCATACAGTGTACGTGATATCCAATAACTGGGACCAGTGAAATACAATGCAAATTTATTTCTAGAATTCGATCGCCAGTAAAGTACATGGGAGACGTGATATCGATCGCTATGTTTTGACAAGTCAGGAATGTACCACATGTATATTTACACAACTGAGTCATTCTGGTCTGAGTACTAAAATACCTTATACTTAACTTTGTGTACAAATTTAATTATGCAATTTTACTAATGATGCAGTATTTCGTCTCACTGTGTTAAATTAACGTCTACATGTATTAAGCTGTAACCAGTATCAGTAACATTAAAAATGATCAAGGATCCTCTCTTTCCAATAGCCTAATTTATCAACTTAAAATAACTTAACTTGTTGTTACCTAGTCTCTTATTTGGTGAAAATTAACTCTCTAATGCAATGTTGTAAATTTTCCTATCCGGCAAAAAGAGTATTAGAATTTAGTTAAATTTTGTGCCATTATGTATCACTAAGCCGTCCTAAATCTGCTTAGTCTGGTTATAAAATATTTGTCTTCTAAATTAGAATAGAACTTTCTACTTGTATTTCCTAATTCCTTCTTACCGTATCCTACATTTCGTATCTTAACATCTATAATATATTGAATGCGAATATCATTGCGACGTGTTTAGTTTTAACGTTCTATGCTAGAATACAGTTCGTTGAGAAAGATGTATAATCGAAAAACGAATGGTTTTTTGGAAGCCTCATGGAAAGTCGCTGTAATAAATCAGTGTTTAGTGAATTCACGAATATCAACACCAAGTGTCTAAATAAATAATGGAAACGATAAAAAGCTATTCTCATCTAAAAATAATATAGTAATAATCAATAAACCTGAATTATAACCCAAAAATGAAGAGGAACTAGATTGTTGAACACTATTCTTTGATATCAATCAAAATGCACTCCCGACAAAAATCGGTAGTCACGTATCTGCTTGGTTACAGACTGTCAATTTTGATGTAGGATACCTTTCTTTACATAATGTTCGATAATAGTTAGACAGAAATACTTCTTATTCATTTTTACCAGTTACTTAGTAATGCCTAACAAAATTGAAGATCCTCAAAAAAACCATCCAAAATATTCATGATTAGTTTATCAATGAATGTTATCAAATGATACTGAATAATCACTTCGAATAAATTATTTGACAAATACTTTCATATAAATAAACCTTGGTCATTCACATGATCTTTATTAGACAAATATATATTATAATTACGTTATTTATCAACACTACAAGCGAGTGAACAATAGCATTAAATAAACATGTCCTAAGGTCAAATTCTATGGAGAATCCAATCAATACTTCCTTAAAATCAATATTTCTTTATTCATCTAACCACACAGTAATAATTAACAAAGCTTGGCGGTGATTTGACTTTTAAAAATGTAAATTACACAAGAAAAATGTAATACAGTTAGTGTTCAGGCATGTGTTTGATTGGAATATTATATCGGTTACTTATCTGATACTGTATTTTTCATTGTAACTTAGTTCTATCTTTATAGTGAATTGATTTTATTTGATCAGATTACGATAGAATGTTAGTTAAATGAATCATAATAAGTTGTATCAGCTTATAGAAAAAAGTCTTTTATGAGGTACAAACCTCTGTGAACTGAACTATTTTTGATCTATGCATAATGATATAGTGAAGAAAGGATTGTTACAGAAGGATATAAACAAGTCAGTCACATAAGTAAAACCGTTGATAAAGTTAAGATATATAAACTGAGAAATCATCTAAGAAAAAAGATGTGATGTCTATTTGAGAAAAGTACAGTTCCTGTTAAAGACAATCGGAATTTTATTCATTTTGAAGATGCATTTTACTGTCTATAAACGACACAAGTGAAAATCGCAGTAGAATCGTCACTAGTTTTAGTTGTAGAGGATCAACCCACTGACTTGTGGTGCTTTTAGTACTTCGTTCATGATGTGGTGATCCGACGTTGTACTGCACAAATATTCTGGGTTCCATGAACAAACGTAAACTAACTACCTTTTGATTTTTTCTATATGATCTCAATGTAGGTAGGTACTTCTCACTCCAAGATTCAAACGTCACTTCTTCGAGGTATCAACAACTATTGAGTCATTACTTCAACCAAGTTAAAATGAACACCCAGTTTCAATAATATATGGTGTTGGAAATAAATAGGTGTAATCAATAGAAAGCAATGGTAGATAAACACAGATACCTCTTGAACATTCTATGCTTAAGGTAGCCAGATTTTTCAAGTATATACTTGAATAACTAGGTCCAAAACTTTGTACACGATACCTTACAAAATCAAACCAACAGTGGCTTTTACTGACATATACAAAACCCAAAATATTCTGTAATAAACACAAATATCTGAACATCCCCACTATTTGAGATTATATACTATATTTTCGCAAAAACCCAGAAGTCAGCCTTTACAAATAGATGTATGTATTGAAGTATAAGATTGAACTTAGGTCTATTTGAAATCGACATAACTTATTAACTACTTATTCACATTGCAAGTAGATCA